TTTTCCTTGTCTCTCTGCAATGAGACATCTCTTATGATCCTGGGTATTTGAGGAAATCTCTTCCTTGCACTCCCTCATATTTAGGATGTGGGGTGGAAAGTGTCTGTGTCTCAGTCTCTCGTCTGTCCTGCTAACTGCACAGTTGCTTCTTTCTGGGTTCTGACCATGCCTTGTGGCTCCCAGTTTGCACCTGGTTCTCAATTTGGTGGGAGTCTGCCTTTGTTTTACCATGTCACTATGGCAAAATATTGTCTGGTCTCACTTTTCTGGGCAGGGACCTGGCACAGTCCAGGGTGTTGCTGTTCTTGATTTGTTCTTCCCAGTGACAGGTCTGTTGGTGTTTTAAGCATTGGTCGATCACACAAGCTGAAACAAAAGGCTGGTGCTTCCAGATGAGAAGCACAGAGAATTCGGTGTTTGTTTGAGGTATGGAGATCCCTGTGCGTGCGCTGCAATAGAATTTGGAGGCATGTCAGGCTGTTGCTGGTGGTTACCTGAATGGGGCAAGCTGACTGGAACAGAGGGAATTACCAAGGGAAAGTTGGTGTTAGGTTTTCTTGGCCTGCCTGTTGCAAATGGGAAGTGCTATCTTTCCTGTGTGACCTCTGTCGCTGTTCCCTTTCTTGTACAGTCATTTGCATTGTCTCTTGATCCAGGAATACTTAACTGACTGAAATCGCTTGCACGTCTCTCCTCCAGGTGATGAGAGTTCGGGGTCAAGACTCGTGGGTTCTGTTCCCAGCTCTGTCACTGCCTCACACTGTGACCTTGGGCAAGTCATTTACACAGGTATAGAACAGAGCTAATGATACAAGGGTTGTGAGGCTGCAGGATGTCTGAAGTGCTTTGGGATCTTCAGACCAAGTGCACATTGTTATTATAATAATCAATTTACTCCTATGAAATAATTCTGCAGGCAGATGTGGTCAGGAATCTTGTATCTGCGGAAGAGCTGATTTAATGGAAATAAATTAAGCTTTGGTCTGCCTGGAACTGATGAGCAGATTAACCTGCCAATCAATCCCCTCTCTTACAGTAACTGGCCATGAGACCATGGCTTTGCCCATTAATTCAACACTCACTGTGAGCCACTCGTGCTGGGAGTCTGTCTAGTCTTCCAGAAAGCCAGACCATAAGTGCCCCTGATTGGGTTATCGCTCTGGCAGTATTATTACTGCTTCTCCATCCTTCCCCTTCATGATTCTTTTCATTTATTAAAGGGAAAAAAACCCAGCCACTCTCAATCCCGGCTGGGATCTAACCGTGTCTGACAAATGCTGCAGGCCAGAGCAGTCTGGTTTCAGCTTGACATTTATGTGGCTTCAAACAAGAGCAATACTTTCTCCATGAAGCCAGTCAGCTGCCTTCTGGCAGCTCAGACAAGTAGTGGGCATTGGCCATCCAGGGGGCCCAGCTAGCTCTGCAAGCAGCAATTGGTGCCCCCCAGGTGAGTGCTGTTACCCCCCTGTGTAGAGACTGGGATGCGGTGGCACTACAAGGGGAAGGGATTAGCTCAAGGTCACACAGTAGGTGAGTGGCAGAGCCAGGAATAGCACCCCAGAGCTCTGGAGTCAGGCATCCTGATCTAACCACTTGACCATGTTGTCTTCACAGCTAGAATGACTGAAGTGGCCATTATTGGCCCTGTAGAAGTCGTGGAGACGGGAAGGTTGGTCTGTCCATCATTTGGGTATCAGCAGGCAGTCGAAGGCTTGTGTGTGTAGAAGGGAGGCACCCTAGAAGCTTGTGACCTAGTTGGCTGTTTTTCCCCCCCTGCTGTGTTTGCTGGTTGCTGCTGGGAGCGTTAGAGCTGGAAAGGTGCCCTGAGGCTGTGGCTTAATTAATTAGTGTTTGCAAAGTGTTTGGAGATGCTCCGAGGAAGGGTATAGCAGCACAGAGTGATGGTGCTGCTGCTGCTTTTGGAGGTGGCTCTGCCCTTGGAGGGAGCTGCCTCCAGATGTGGCTCACCCCAGCCCCAGAAAACTGTATGGGAAGGGGGAGCTGGTACTCAGGGGGTGCAGAGTCGCTAGGCAGCTTTTGGCCAGCTCACATGTGCAGTGTTTGCCCAAAAAGAGGGAAGACGTCTCAACTCACCTGCTGATGAGGGTCTATCCTGGGGATGAGCGTAAAGGGTTAGTTGAGTGCTATGGCTTCTCGGTGCCTACGTAGCTGTGGGGAGCCCGGGTTCTATGAGGCCAGCATTTGGGACCTTGAGATGCTGTGCCATGGATAGTTCTTGCTTGTCGTACGGGGCCAGTTTAATGGGAGCCAGAAGCTTCAATACACCTTGCAGTTTATTGAGCAAGGAGCTGATAACCCCACACTTGTTTAGCAAAGGAATTGGCCATTTGCCACCTGCTGAGATCCCTAGTGTCCTGAGGCATTGGGGGCCAACACAACTTCAGCTTCAGGGGCTGGGGGGGGGAGTGTTAGTTCAGACCCAAGTGGCAGGAACTGTGGGGGGAGCCACTTTACATTTATCCCCCATGTCCTGAGGCAAGTGTGTGGCCTGGTCTGGTTTATGGCTGACAAATGCTCTTCTCTTCCCCCCCTCCTCCTCCACCCCCAGCTCAGCCTGCTTGCCCCTATTTAGAGACGTGTTTTATAGTTCAAACTCTAGACCCCGGGCAAAGGTTATGGCAGCAGCTGGCTCCATGCTGGTTAGTTAAATTCTTTCTAAGGGACATTCAATCAAATCATTTAATTCTCTTCCCCTTTCCCCCCTTATTGTCCCTGAAACTCTTTGAATCCCCAAGACAAGCCCCCAGAGGCCCCATCCCCAAATCCTACCCAGGGAGCAGCTGCCACTCCCTCCAGTCTGCCTGGATGTCTGATTTTGTGGGTCTTGCATGTTCTTCCTTCCCCCGTCCCTGATCGCAGCTGGGGAAGGAAAGGGGGTGTTGACTCGGCCTCAGAGAAGCAGGGGATAGTGGCATTTTAGCTGGGAGGGTGAAATTGGAAGTGCTCTGCGCCCTGGTTGCTGCTGTCGGATGCTCTGGAGGAGGCAGCACCTTCTCCCTTCTGAGTGCGAGGCAGATGCTCAGCCACATGACATGTCTAGAGTTGGCTCTCATTTGCTGCAGCTCCCCCCCTCCCTGCACTGCCGGTTCAGTTTTGTCTACAAGACTCCAGAGGAAGAGTCAGGCGGCCCCAGGGACTGATTATTATGTGGACAGGGAAGACACAACAGCCAGTCCCATCTCCGTAGGATGAGGTGAGGTATGTGCAGCTGTTGCCTGCCCAACTCCCAGCATGCCAGTGATACCACAGGCAGAGCCAGGAAGAGGATGCATTAGCATCACAGGGCTTTGCAGTCTGTGTGCTGGAAAGAGCTATCAAATTTCAGTTGCCTGGGCAATAAGGCTAGTGAGACATCCGGATAGTTACTGGAATATAATCCCTGGGCACCTGAGCTCCAAGGAGATGATCAGCATGGGAGATAACAATACTTCATAAGGGCATGGCTTACCCTGAACCCCAGGGGGAGTAGAGCAGGGTTAGGGGGGACAGTTCAGCACAGGGCCAGCCCTGTGTGCTTGAGTTTCATAAATGAAAAGTTCCAGTAGAGGTCCCAGGACCTGTTGCTAAAGCAGCTGTTCTGTACAAAGTAGCTCCAGGCAGGAGATGAAAAAGACTCTTGTATCTGGCTGAAGCTGCAGGAGGAATTTAAGGAGGTGGACTTTAGCTAGGTCAGTTGTTAATATTCCTTTTCTTCCGAGATGTGCCCTGGACTCCTCATGGCCGCAGGGAGTCAGGGCCTCTGCGTGGGTCACATCCAGAAGATGGCACCTGCAGCAACCCCATGCTGTGGCACTGGCTTGGAGAAGAGCACTCAAAGGAGCATGGACATTGCCAAGCTGTCTCTGACTGTGTCTTTCTAGTGCTTCCTCTCCTCTCCCAAAGAGGCCAGTCCCAGCTGCTTAAGTGCATGTTTCCCTCTAATGGCCAAGTATGGAATAGCCTGGCTATCGGAAAATGTCTTCTGAAACCTAGTATCAGAGGGGTAGCCGTGTTAGTCTGGATCTGTAAAAAGCAACAGAGAGTCCTGTTTCAGAGTAGCAGCCGTGTTAGTCTGTATCCGCAAAAAGAACAGGAGTACTTGTGGCACCTTAGAGTTGGCATCTTTAAGACTAACAGATGTATTGGAGCATAAGCTTTCGTGGGTGAATGCCCACTTCGTCGGATGCATGCTTATGCTCCAATACATCTCTTAGTCTTAAAGGTGCCACAGGACTCTCTGTTGCTTTCTGAAACTTAGTCCTCATGCTTAGAAATTGAAGGGTTAATAGCTCTTATCCTGTCTAATGGAGCTGTGGGTGTTCCCCTTTGCATTGCTGGCACCACTTCCGACAGTGCTTAGCATTCCAGCCAGCATGGATATGCAGCACACACCTGCAGTGTGGCTTCGGCCTCCTCCAGAATGCAAAGTGCTGGTTCAGAGCAATTAGAACTTCTATGGGGTATTCTGTAATGTGGGAAGTGAGGAGAGAAGGAAGATTGGGAGGTGGAAATCTCTTGTGTGGGCGCCTCCTACTGGCAGCTTCCTGCTGGAATGTTTCCTGTGGGAGAGGACAATGATTTGACACTGGCTCCCTTCCCTTCCCCATGTGGCCTCATGGTCGTGGCTGTGGTAGCAGTAAATAGTGGTTCCCTATAGAGGAGAGGTAGGCAGGTCCACAGACCGAGCCCAGATCCATCCACCATTGGTGGCCATTGGTTCCTCCACCGCCAGCCTCTTGGAGAGCAGGCCCTGGGCTGCCGTGGTTCCTCTGGAGTCTCCAGAACTGACGTGCAGCTGGGGTTTTGTGTGACAGTGCTTGGGCCATCCTGCTTTAGAAACGGGAGCAGGAGCTGAATGTTTGCTCCCTAGCGCAGGCTGGTTCTGGCCTGTCTCTGCCCACATGGCCTGGTTGAGTGGAGGGGTTTGGCATGGGCTGGGCTGTGAGGTTAATGGTGCTGTCTCCTTGGCTAACGTGTGCTCCTGTCTCTCCCTCTGGCAGAATCGGAGAGTCTAGTGAATGGCAACCACCAGCTGTCTCTGAATGATGTCCATAAGGGGCAGGGAGTGAGGCCCCGGCCCAGCCACAGCTCCCTGGTCAGCTCCATCGAGAAGGACCTGCAAGACATCATGGACTCTTTGGTGATGGAGGACTCGAGCTGTCCCAGGAAAAAACTCTCTGCCAATGCCCAGTCCCCTGTGTCCTCAGTGGTGAATGGTGGTGGGCACTACTTCTTGTCCCCACCCTTGAGCCCTGGGGCCATGTCTGTGGGCTCCAGCTATGACAACGCATCCCCGCCCTTCTCCCCGCTTTCGTCCCCAGCCAGCAGTGGCAGCTGCACTAGTCACTCTCCCAGTAGCCAGGAGCAGGGGCCGCCCATCCCCCCAGTGGTGCCAGTGAGATCTTCCAGCTACAACCATGCCATGCAGCCCCCACAGCAGCGGCCACCTCCACCTCCATGTGGGGGCTCCAGCCTGGACCTGAGGAGCAGCACCATAGGCACTAGTGGGACACATCTTGCAGAGAGTCCCAAGATGCAAAGGAGGGCAAAGCATGGCATTCCCCTGAGCCCCAAGCCTGGCCAGAGAGCCCTGCACCCTGAAGGCCCTGGGCTTTCAGCCTTCTCCAGCACCCGGAGAGCTGCTGAGAGCACACAGCTGGGCCATCCTAACCAATATGTGCCCCTGGTGTCTGTAAGCCGGAGCGACTATGTAGCAGGGAGCCCCCAGGCTCAGCCTACCAACATCCCCAACAGCCCCCGGCTGGCACCCAAATTTCAGTCACCGTCTTCTCAGAGGTTGAAAATTGTGGCTCTTCAAGAGCGTCCACCCAGCCCCTTCAGGGAGGGCAGGGAGCCCCCTGGCATTGACAGACACCTGGCCTCCAGCCCCTCCCAGCAGGTGTTGGCAAGAGGCTTCCAGCCACTGGAGACTGTGGGTTTCATCCGCGTCAATCAGGACAGCCGCTCTCTGCAGCCCCCTGAGAGTCCCAGAATGGGCAGAAGGAGCGTGGAGAGCATGAGGGATTTGCCTCCCCTCAGCCCTTCCCTGTCTCGCCGAGCAGCACCCCTGCCCTCTGCCTTGTCTCCCCAAGCAAGGACCCCCCAAGAGAGTCCCTCACAGCAGACCAAACTGGCCAAGGAAGTTCCTGAGAGCCCTCGCATCCGGCGCAAGGCAGCCAGACCCCTGGAGAGGCATGAAGACTTCTCCTCCTCGTCCTCCTTGACAGGGAAGAATTTGAGAACTAGGAGCCCCTCACCCATCTTCCAGGCAGAACTTGCCTCCCAGCGTAAGCCCAGCTTTGGCATCACCCTCAGCCCTGCATACAGCCTGGGATCGCTGGTTGTGCCCTCGCCCCGTCAGAGCCCCCGGGCACAGAGGAAGCTGTCAGGAGACCTGCGGCTGCCTGTGAGTACGAGGGAGCGCAAGAACAGCATCACTGAGATCAGTGACAATGAGGATGACCTGCTAGAGTATCACCGACGCCAGCGCGAGGAGCGGCTGCGTGAGCAGGAGATGGAGCGCCTGGTGAGAGGCATGGCATGCCATGGGGACAGGATGGGACGGGGTCTGGTGGGGGGTAGGGCATGGCATGGAAGTGGGGCCTGGTAAGGAGTCGGAGATGGGGCATAGTGGGGGAAGCACTATGGATAGACGCTGAGCTCTAGGGCAAGGGGGAGCACTGGATGTTGAGGGAGAAGTGAGGTCTTCTTTAGTCCCCGCTCGTTGATACTGTTGCCTATTCTGAGGAGCATGGGTAATGCCACAGTGGGTAAAGCACTGGATGTTTAGGAATATCCGGTTTATCCAAGCCCCTTGCAGCAGCTGGGAAGAGGCTCTTGGTGTTGCTGGAACTGGTTACAGTGATGCTGGCTAGGTTGCTTTGACTTAGACTAAGGCTGATCAGGTCTCAGGGCATCCGTTGGTCCTTGAGAGTGTCAGGAAGGAGCTGCCATCCCACGTGGTACTGTTGGCCAGCTGCAGGCTGGGCTGTTTTGCCTCCCCGCTGTGCACCATGGGAGGCAGGACACCAATCTAGCTGGGTACGTGGTCTGAACGGTGCTGGTCAATCCATTCCCTGTGGGATTTGATTCCTGGGCCCTTTCTGCCCTGCTGACTTCAGATTCACATGCTGTATATGACTGGCTGCGTCCTCCCACAGATGGGGCAGCAGTGATAGGAGCTGCCCCACTCATTAGTCTGCTGAGCTGCTGGGTAAGGCTGCCTGTGACCCTTGCCGGCTCCCCTCAGCACAGCATCCTCAGTTGAGGAGTTAATGTGCTGCGTCTCTGACCTGCATTCATCACAGCTGTAAGCTCAGACGCTATTATCTGCTGACTGTATCCTGGTCCCCTCCCGTTTCACATCATGTCTGGCAAGTTCATTGGAGCCCTGGGGGGCTGCTGTCGCCCTTGCTCCCTGTCAGAGCGGTGTTTGCTGAGAGTGAGGCACTGGCTGCAGTGACCCCTTTTCCCTCCCCCTCTGCTCCAGCTGGCATGCTGCTTTATAGGAGCAATAGCACTGCAGTTCCTGCTATAACACCCATTACACATCCATGGCAGGGGACGTAATTAGTGGTCAGAGTAAGGCACTTATTGGTGAGCCCCAGGCTTGTAGCTTGATACAGAGCCTGGAAAGCTCTTGCCTTGTGTACATGACCTACAGGCCCCCTACCCCCGCAAATGCCTTACAGGGATTTGTGAAGGGGAGGCAGGAAGCCAACCACAGTGCCCTCCACAGGCTCAGCCCATCCCTCGGATAGGGGAGAGAGCGGATGGCCGAGGGGCTTGTGGCATTGGCTACTGGGTTGCTGCGGCCTTGCACAGTCTCCAGGATGCAGAGGGTCTGGGATCCTCCTTGCTCTGGAGCAGTTGCCAAGCCCTCCCCTAAGTCTGACTCTGCCCTGTGCTTTCACACAGCGCTGTGGGCCTGACCCCGCTGTGCCACATACTGATACGCAGACCACATGGCACTGGAAGGTGTATACATCATTGGAAAGCTCTCTAGTCTCTCCACTCACCTCACTGGCACTATACGTTCTTGCTGTCACAGTGACCTGGGATTTTTTACACCCTCGGTGATGTTTTGAGTCTGACTCTTTCCAAGCCCAGATACCAGGGAGCCCAGGCAGTTGCAATAAGGGCTGGTGTATTCTTTGCATAGGGCCTCGGACTTGTACTGTTTTCAAACCGGTTTTAGAGTAGCAGCCGTGTTAGTCTGTATCCGCAAAAAGAACAGGAGTACTTGTGGCACCTTAGAGACTAACAAATTTATTAGAGCATAAGCTTT